GTGCTACTTGGAGGGTCGGGGGACGTAGTAAGTAGATACTAAGTAGAGTCACAAGTACCCTAAAACGGATCCTACTTGGGGTTATGATATTTTTAAGTCCATACAGCAGCTAGTAACTAAGTCGCCCGACCCTCCAAGTAGAAGGGCCCCAATTAATGGTCTCTTCAAGGGAAACCCTTAACCCTGAATCCTTTAAACCCATCGAATATTCGATCGGGGGGCCTCCATGGCAGATGCGACAAGGTCCACCACCTCTCGAATAAACTAGAGGGGCGTTAAGATTCAGGGTTGTAAGGCTTTAGTACTACTCTTTAACAAATTGCTGCCTTGAAAATGCTCTGAGGTTTGGGGCTTAGGGTTTAGATTTCTGCGTCTTGAAAAGGCTCTAGTATTCCTCTTTGCGGCACAGAGGCTTTGCTTTGACAACGGTCCTCTATGGACGCCTAAGCCCTAAACCCCTAAACCCTAGACCTTAACCTCTAAACCCCTGAAAAAACCCTTAACCCTAAACAAGGGTTGTGGAAAGGTTCGTTTGAGGTTTTCTCGGTCCTCCTGAAAGATTTCTGACACCGAGAAACTGAAGAGTTCCTCTAAGGGCTCCGTTCAGGGTTTAGGGTTGAGGGTTTAGGGCTCCTTTAAAGGGATCCTTTAAGGGTTTCGGGTTTAGGGCTCTTTAAGGGTAAGGGATGCCCTTAAGTTCCTTTGGGTGTCTTGTTTAGGGCTTACCTTAACCCCAAATAGCCTACCTTTTTGAGGACCCATATAAGGAAATCATGATAAGGAACCCTCTACAAATGTAGGTTTCATGAGGTCCGGTAGGGGTTGAGGGGGGTCCTAAACCCGAAACCCTAAACCTTCTGGGCCTTCCGGAACTTTATGCTTCAGGGGCACTGAGAGGTCTTAGGACTGAAGCCGAAAAGCTGAAGCAACTGATGGGTGGGTTTAGGGTTTAGGGTTAAGGGCGTAGGGTTTCGGGTTCCTAAACCCAAAACCCTAAACCCTAAACCCCTAACCCCTAAACCCTAAGGGTTTATATAGTGTTTAGGGTGGTGAGGAGATTTTAGGGGCGGCTTCCTTGGCCGACAGCCAAGAGAAGACAAGGAGAACATCCAGGGCCTTGCAGAGGTTCGGGTTTAGGGTTTAGGGTTTGGGGTTTAGGGTTTAGGGTTGAGACTCGGGTTATACAGGGCTTTATGAGAGGACATATAAGGGGTATATAGGGTATTAGGATTAGGGCTCCCTTCTAGGGGTCCCTCCTACATCTTAATGAGGGTTTTGACATTCCTGGAGTGAGTGAGATTCGATGAGTATCATTGCCATCGGGTTCCAGCGGACGTCCCAGCTTGGTCATGTAAGCTTCAAGCAGGGCACAGTACAAGGCATATGTAACGAGCTCTAACTATGATGCAGGCTTGTTGTGGTTAAAGGTCCATTCTTTCAGGGCCGGGCACCCTAAACCCTAAACCCCAAATGGACTACCTAGTGTTTAGGGTTTAGGGGTTTAGGGATTTAGGGTTAGTTTTGGGTACAGTCGATAAGTAACGACCATCACCTGAAGCCCTAAGGCTCAGACCGATGCTGCGCGTTTTGCTCAGAGACCCTGTCACCCTCAGCTGTCCATGAAACGCCAAAGGCCCAGGTCTAACAAGCCCTACGGGTTTGGGGTTTAGGGTTTAGGGTACACCCGAATCAAAAGCATCAACTGAAACCCAAACCTCTAAACTCTAGGGACGGTATTGCCGCCTACAAACCCTGCGCCCTAAGAGCTAAATTCTAACACCCTAAATCCCAAACCTTCGTGCTGACTGTAGCAGGGAGGAAAAGGACCAGCAGCAAAGCTACGGTTGGTGATGTAAATCCTGCATTACCCATAATAAAGGGATATTTACCATAATTCCCATAGTTTAGGGTCCTTAAGGTAAGGGAGGATTTATATCATCAACAGTAGGTCCCAGCCCGTTGCAGGAACTCTTTCAGGAGAACCTGGTCAGGGGAAGGGGTCTTCTGGTGCGCAGGGAGCTCAGCACGGGGTCACGGTGGAGAGCCTATGGAGCTCCGGAGATGAGGGTGTGGCGTCTGGGAGGTTTTCGGTTTAGGGTTTAGGGTTTAGGGTTTGGGGTTTTAGGGTTCAGAATTTGGGTTTAGGGATGAGGGCTAGAGGCTTGGGGTTCGGATAGGGTGCCATGCGTTGGATTGTGAAAGCAGGTTCCGGCTGTGGGATTCATCAGACCTCCTTGACTTCGGCGTTTATCGGCTGAAGCATTTTGCCACAAGGGGCTTTGAGATTTTAGGGTGCAGGGTGTAGGGTTTTGGGGTTTAGGATCTTGCATGGGTGAAACGGGAGGAGTCCTGAAGCAGGACCTAGTTTTAGAAGAGGGCGCGAAGCATTGTGGGGGGTATCCGTGGCCAGCGTAATGCTTCCTTTTGGCGTACTGAAGGGGTGTACGTACCACTCAGTTTTATACCACACGGTTTCCTTGGTATGCATGACACTCCAATATCCTGCCAAACCCTTTTGAACTGTTGAGCTTCCCATCTTCCCTCCTGGCTCTCGATTTTCCAGCCTGTTGTCAGGTGCTCTGATTCGAGCGCAAATGGCATCACCGGGATTTACCCATGCCTCCTGACTGCATTGCGAAGCGTGCCCCTGGTTTTCTTGATGTCACTGGCGGCCCCAACATCGAAGGGGCACGAGATCTTATGCTTCTGGGATCCTCAACGACACGTCAAGGGCGATGGGTGTTCAGACTCGCAGAATCTCAGTTTTTGACGCAAAGTCTCGAGTTAGCCCTTGCTCGAAAGATGCCTCGCCGATGCAGCCACTTTGCAGCCCCACACCCTGAATCCTAAACCCACTTTCCAGAGAAACCGCGAGTGTCCATATCGGCCCTAGAGCATGCATACTTAGAATACAGTGTATGTGGGAGTGTTCTAGGGTTTAGGGTTTAGGGGTTTAGGGTTTAGGGGTTTAGGGTTTAGGGTTTAGGGCCTTAATAATTAGTACCTGAATGCATGGAACGTCTTCGGAGCGAGTATGCAACCAACTTGCAGAGCCTGATGATGGACCATAAACCCTAAACCCTAAAAGCCCTAAACCCTAAACCCTAAGCGACTGCCCGAAGTCCTTTGCTGCTTAAACCTCTTTCCATGACTTCATGCTGAACCCCAGGATGGGAACTCGAGTTTGACCGTCCTAAACCCTAAACCCTAAAGGCACAAGAAAACCCTTAGCTTAGCGTTCTTCTGGCTGGCTCTTAGGACTGCAACTTGTGGGTTTCTTTGTGAACTAGAATAAGGCGGCTAAAGGTCTAACTTTTATGAGGGGTTCAGAAGTCAGCCAAGTTAACCCTCAAAAAGCGCTTAACCCTCAAGGGCCATAATTTCCCTAAGCCCCAAGTCCCGAAGTCCCGTTAGAGAGGTCTTTGCCGCTCTGCTGGCCGTGATCAACTCGAAGCTGTCTTGCCCCCAGCAGAGGGGAGTTTGGGTTCATCGGGCCCCAAAAAGGAAGAATGGCCCTTGGTAGGTGCGCTTTGGGCAGTTCTTAGGTCTTACACGCTTGAGTTGTCCAGCAGTGCCGCAAACAGCAAGCTTCCAGCTGAAAACAAGCAGTTTTCGAGTGTAGGGGTGTGATGCACCCAACCGAAATCCGCTGCCATTGAAACACAGCATCACAGACTTCATTACCTCCTCACCCCCAAACATCGCACAAAGCCCAAACCGACCATCCGCCAAGTGTCTCGAATTGCCGATGGCAACTTGTAAGCCCCCAACTCTGCCTTAAACTGGCCCTCAAAACCCTCAACCCTGAACCCTAAGCCTGAAACCCTAAACCCTCAACCCTAAACCTTAAACCCTTAACCCTGAACCCTAAAACCCTAAACCCTGAACCTTAAACCCTAAACCCCAACTCAGACTTTAGCCCGACATCTGCAAAGCGCTCTTGGCGAGGCCCGAAGTGGGAGATCTCCTGATCCGGCGGGTCATTCTGCAGTTTAGACGTGCCTACAAGAGGACCGGAGGGGTTGAAGGGTTTATAGGGTTTAGCGGTTTAGGGTTTAGGGGTTTAGGGTTTAGGGTTTAGGGGTTTAGGGTTTAGGGGTTTAGGGTTTAGGGTGAAGTTTAGGGGTTTAGGGTTTAGGGTAGCATCCCTTGTAGCTCCTTCTTCTACACCTGAAGCTACGTTCGGTTTGATCTGCCCGGGGCCGGAAAACCCTGAACGCTAATCCGTCATATTTCCTTTTGAGGTCCTTCTTGCAGGAGTGGCATCTTCCGTTCCCTCTGCTGGCAGGAATGACAAGATTGTGACTACCGCGGCAATCCGGTTCATGGCCCACTTAGTGAATCAGAAGGCGCCCTTGCGTAGGCTGCAATGTGCACATTCATTGGGCACCTTCGGAGAGGGTTTTGGCCAATGGGGGTGCGCTGTATGATCAGTGATCGACCAGTAACCAGAGCATGATTCATATAAGAAGTGGCTCGATGTTGCTCCTGAGAAAGATCCGAAGGCGATGTAAATCCCAAAGCGATTTGGCATTCATTTGTTCTCCCCAGCTCTCGATTGCTGAGATTGCAGGAGGAACGCGTAGAGAGAGAGAGAGAGTGGACAAGGCTGTTGCAAAATGTTTAGGACTTGTCTTCCAGTTGCGTAGCTCCTAGGCGCATTTAAAGTTGGGCATGGTTTCACCAATCCCTTACAACCCTTGCACCCTGCCTTCTGCAAGCCACGATCGACAGAGTCATAGACTCTAAACCCTTAACGTCGAAGCCGGGCCACGTCCTGCGAAGCTTCTCACGTGAACCGAATCTAAACTTTCTGAAACCAAACCCCGAAATGGCAGAAAAGATCTTAATGACATGCTCAAGCTGATCTTCAACCATGTGTCCATATCCTAAACCCCAAACCTACCCACTAATCAGTTAAGCCGTAACTTACACCTTCAAGTCTAGGACATGTTCAGGTGGGTAGTTACCGTTATAGGCTTATAGAAGCCCTATACCCTAAACTCCCCACCTGTAGGTGCCTTTAATCAAGCCTCTATCTCGATCTCCGTCGCAGATAGCGTCGGAGCTCCTCGCGCTGCACGTGGCGACGCTGCTGCTGGCGCTCGGGGCTTGCTTTTGTTCACCCTAGGGCCAGGGTTTAGGGTTTAGGGGCCCAGTGCACCCTGAGAGTTGCATCTTCCAGGGAGCCCTTGAATTGAAAGTAATAGTAGGGGAGTCGGTAGCAAAGTGAAACTGCAATATGTGCCGCAACAGTAGCTATGAAGGTGCCGGCATTCGATCGGTTCTCGCTCTTAGACTTTACTCGCCATTTTCCTCTGGGGTTTATTTGGTCGCGTTGCTCCGTGCAAGCTTGAGCTGGGCCCACCCTAAACCCTAAGCCCTAAACCCTACACCCCACCCCCTAAACCCTACACCCTAAACCTCTCTAAACCCGAAGCCCTAAACCCGAAACCCTACACCCTACACCCCAAAACATCCCTAAACCCTAAACCCTACACCCTCAAGCCGAAACCCTAGACCCTACTTCCCAAAACATCCCTAAACCCTCAATCCACCCAGTGAGAAGTTGCAGTACTTGGCGGGGAAGAGGCGAGGTTTGAAGAGTCTCAAAACCCGGGTTTAGGGTTTAGGGTTTATGGTTGAGAAAGCCTGCGGATCATCCCGGCTTGGGCTCAGTTGGGGGGAATCTTTGTTGTGTCAGGATTGTTGCATTTTCGTACTGAAACCTGACATTATGCTCTATGCTTTGGGGCTTTTCGGTGCTGAATTTTGTGTTTTTGGGACAGTTGGCTTTTGGTGCTGAATCATGACATTACGCAGCCTACTTGGGCAATTTCCGGGGTCCCGTACAACAGGCAACGGGATCTAGCAAGAGCAACAACCCTTAACCCTAAGACCTAAACCCTAAATCTGTGATTCTTGCCAGCCCGTTGGGTCTTTCGGCCGTCCACGAAAGCGGGCATTTCTGTAAGGAGGTTTCCTCTTCCTCAGCACATAGCAGGTGTTACGGCACAGGGCGCTGTAGTTGGGCGGTGCGCTGAAGCCCTGAAAGCGCAAGCCCTACAGAAAGCCCAAAGCCCGGAACGGGATTTTCGGATCGGTGGCAGGAGCGAGTGACGGAAGATTCCATCGAAGTCTGCGTCAGCTTCCTTCAGGACCTCAGTCTGTGTTTCTCTGCAACTTTGGGCGGGTATTAAGGGCTTCAGGGTTTCGGGTTGAGAACACTCTGGGTCTCAGTTTAAACCACCCTAAACCCTAAAACCCTAAAACCCTAAAACCCTAAACCCTAAACCCTAAACCCCCAACCCTAAACCCTAAACCCCGAAACCCCTAAACCCCTGAACCCCTAAACCTTAAACCCCTTAACGTCTTCCCCGGCTGGCCTGTGGGCGGGTTGAGGTTCGTGATCGAAGCTCGGGGCCTCGGAAGCTTGGGCTCTTTGGCATACTACCGATCCTTTAACAGGGACTTGTGTTTAGGGTTTAGGGTTTAGGGAGAGACTTGTGTTACCCATAGGCCCCAAAGTAGTTCCTTTTTGTGGCTGATATCTAGGATCCAATTAGGTAGTCCCAAAAAGGAACTACTATGGGGCCCATGGGTAGAGGCATTGACGGTAGAAGGTGAGAGTGGATGCTCTCGAGCTTTAAAGGGTTCACCAAAGCGAACCGTGCTGTGATAACCCCGGTCACTAAAATCTAAGTCCTGGCTGTTTGGGCTGCAGATTGTGCGCAAGTTTTTGGGCCCGAGGGTCTAGGATGCGAGATTAATCACTGCAAAAATACTAGCATAGCTTATACTATACCATAATACGCTAGTCCATGTCAGCTGGTTAATCCTTGCCACGTCCTGAACCATGAACTGTGACTCTCGTTGTATATAGAAGCCTAAATAATTACCTACATTATTCCTTAGGTTTCTGATTATCAAGGAGCCCAAAACCCTATTCTAATTATTAAGGCCCCTACATTATCGCCTCGCTTCGCCTACGACCGTCACACCCTAAACCCTAAAACCCTCAAACCCTTAATCCTTAAACCCTAAACCCTTAAACCCTAAACCCCAAAACCCTAAACCCCGTGAGCCCTAAACCCCAAGGTCTGTAGTGTATGGGATTTAGGGTTGGCGGTTTGTGCACTTTTTCGAGATTGGCCCTTGCTTCGATATGCAACCAAAATCAAGCAATGCAGCTTTATTTTATAAGTTAATGGTTTAGCGTGTGGGGTTGGGTTAGGGTTTACGGTTTTTAGATTTTAGGGTTGAGACAACCTACAATATATAGGGATCTAAATAGTCACCGATACTATTTTGGGGGGCTCCTTATATTAGTTTGGTTTTAGTATGAAAAACTCTAAAACCCTATTCTAATAATTAAGGCGTCTACATGAACCTACGAAAACCTACTTGTGGTAGGCTCTGACTATAAGCCCCATAAAGTGTGGACTTTGTGGGGACCCTCTCCGGGAAGCAGGTTCTGGTAGGTTAGGGTATACCCTACATCCATATGGGTAGTTCTCTACATTACTGTCCTTTTTGGGGGGTGCCTTTTATAATGGGGACCCAGCATGGGACCCTAATTTAGAGAATTACCCATATTCTCAAAGGGCAAAAAGGAGGGACGCTTAATGGGGATCCCTACCCTACGATCGTGATTATACAATAGCCATATTAAGGTTACAGTACCTAGGTGTCCTTATTCAGGGTCCCTCCTCGTATCCTTGGGTATTCCTCAATGTCGAGGCCCTAAACCCTAAACCCTAAACCCTAAACCCTAAACGAGGGGTATTGGAGTTTCGGCTCGGGAATCTTCGGGTTCCCAAGATTGATCGGAGAAGATTTGTAGACCCAAGGGCTAAGGTAGATGTTGATGTTGTGAGGGTCCTAAGCGGAAGAACTCAGATTTAGCGAAAGAGCGAAACACAAGCAAAGCAAATAGCCAATCCTATAATCTCCCAACACCCAAAACCTTCCCCCCCCTCCCCCCCCACTCCTTTTTGTTCTCCCGGCTTCAACTGCTCTTTGCAGGAAGTGGGGCAAGCACTGGAGGAGCTGTCCAAGGCGAGAGCATCTAGTAGTCTCCTTAGACTTGATGTTTGTGCACCCAAGTGGGTCTTACGCACAGTGTTGCGATTTTGGGTCCAAGGGGCCTGTAAGAAAGCAGAGCACGAAGATTCTGGGCTGTTTGTGGACAAATCTAGGAAGTAGGATTTTGGGCACAGGGATGTTGCTTTGGCTGCCGTGATCCGTAGGGCTTTGGGGTCTTGAGAGGTTTGGTGTTTTTTTTTGCAGCCTGAGCAGCTTGAGGTGTATAGAGGGGGTTTGGTGTTTTCCGTTTTGGTTTCTGCTCGCAGGGCTTTGGGGGGAAGCCCCAAACACTGCGTATCATAGCCCAAATTTGATTAATTCATAATGAGGACTATATACCTGGACCCCCAGAGTGTGTAGAATGATAGCCTTTGATGGGTCTTGGGCCACAATTTTACCTACTTCGGGAGTTTAGGTAAGGACACCAATGGAGGGCTCCAGTCCGGTCCTGCGTCATACAGAAACCTCTGTATAATTCGCATAGAAGCCCGCATCGAGCCATTGGAGGTCCCAAGCTTTCAAGCCCTTTAAGACTTATACCCTAAACCCTAAACCCTACACCCCTAAACCCTAAACCCAAACCCCCTAAACCCTTAACCCAAACCCCCTAAACCCTTAACCCAAACCCCCTAAACCCTAAACCCTAAACCGAAGACAGTACCCCTGTACGATCCTAAGCCCTGAAGCCTAGAAACCCTTCGTTGCAGGCAGGCTGCCAGGCCATCTTCGAGCGGCCCACTCCTTAGTGTTTCGGGTAGACGTTTTGGAACTGTAGGGTTTAGGGTTTAGGGCTTCAGGGTTTTAGGGTGTTAGGGTTTTAGGGTTTAGGGTTTAGGGCTGACGGTTCTCAGGCATTCTCAAGGGTTCTTGCCGTTGTTGAGGAACGTAGGGTTTCTGGGGGTGAGGATTTTTGGGGGGGTTTCGTATTTCGGGGTATAGGGGGAGGGTTTGGTGGCGTGTCGCGATGCAGTTGCAATGGCCCGCGATGGCACAACTCGCAAGTGTGGACCATTCATGTCAGTTGTTTGTTCGTTTTGGTTGTTCATCGACCTCTGTGTGCACCTCAGCTATGAGCCTAAAGAGCAATAGCCTACATGTACTAGTTGCTAGCTCGCTTAAACCTGCGGGTGCAGGTTGACAGGCGCAGCAATGAAGTAAACTCGTCAGTTGTGCAAGCTTTGCGCTTCTTTTTATGTTCATACATGCATATATATATATATATATATATACACAGAGAGTAACTAGTTTGTTACAGCTATCTATATTCATCAATCTATCTATCTATCTATCTATCTACCTATCTATATAGGATGCCGCGCCGAGGTTCCGAACCATCCTGCACGAAGGAGAGATCGACAAGCGCTGTGCTCAGAACATGGTCCCTGGTAGGGTTTAGGGTTTAGGGGTTATGGGGTTTAGGGTTTAGGGTTTAGGCGTTGAAGGGTTTAGGGTTTAGGGTTTAGGGTTTAGGGCACTACCTTAAGGACCCTAAAATATAAAGCCCTGAACCCTAAACCATGGAAATTATCGTAGAAATTCTTTGTGATGAGTAATGCAGGATGTAGAGCATCAACTGTATCAGTCTTCACCTCTCCGCCCCGTGTTCCAAAGATTATGGATTGCATTCGGGGATCTTGATTCCTGCTGTGAAACATCCCATTAGGCTTTAGGGTTTACAGGGTTTAGGGGTTAGGGGTTGGGCTTTAGGGTTGACAGGGTTTAGGGAAGGGACGAAGGTTCTGTTCAGGGCCCTTTGGTTTCTTCGGTTTGGGAACATCTGAAAGCACGCTTGGAGACAGGAGGCGTGAGACAAGCATGGCCGAAACGAGGCTTAAACCCAACAAAGAAGGCGGTTCAGGGCAGTTCAGCAGTTGTGCTGCGGGCCTAAACCCTAAACCCTAAACCCTACACCCTGAACCCTAAACCCTGAAAAGGATAGCTTCTTCGGTACAATTCTTTGCTGGAGCTCGTGGCTTCGGATGTTGACTATAGGAAGTCAGGGCTTTCCGGATCTTTCCGCTTTTCGTGTGGACTTGAGGGCGTAGGGTTCGGGTTTAGGGTTTATGGTTTAGGGTGGACTTAAGGGTGTAGGGTTCGGGTTTAGGGTTTAGGGTTTAGGGTCTACTTCGGTTTAGGTCTGATTTGGGGCAGTTCTAGAGGCGAAGATTTGAACCTCTCCGCGCATGAACTCGAAACCCTACATGCTAAAGCCTCCAGACGTAAGGCGCGTGCAGTACGTCATCGAGGGCCTCTATGAAACGCGGAGGAAGAGGTTCTCAGATCACCCGATGGCTGCTGGGCGGAGTTGACCTTGTGTGCTTATTCTTTCGGGTTTAGGGTTTAGGAAAGTTTCGGGTTTAGTGGGCTCAGAGTTTACTCGGTATCTTGTGCTGAATGCACTCATACTTTAAGGCTTTTGGGCCAGTTCGCTTCTGAACTTTTATCTTAATGCACCCACACCCTATACATCACCACTGAGCCCAAGACCCTAAGCTCTATACGATACTCCCTAACATCTCAAACCCCTGAGGCCTATACTCCTTCATCCCTGTTCCACAGACTATACTATAACCCCTTGTCCCTGCAAAAAGCCCTCAAGCCCTTAAGCCCTATACCCAAAATGTGTCGCCTAAACCCTCAACCCCTCGAACCCAACGATCCCTCATCCTAGGTCCCTAAACCCTTAACCCTGAACCCTAAACCCTAAACCCTAAACCCAACGATCCCTCATCATAGGTTTTGGAAGAGCTCGACCTCGTCGAAGACGAAGACCAGATCACCCACGAGGCTGGCATTGGTTCTGTCGGGTGTCGGCTTTAGAGTTTAGGAGTTAGGGTTTATTATATTATTCATAGTTTAGGATTTAGGATTTGGGGTTTAGGATCGGAATTTTGGGTATAGAATTTAGTGCCGAAATTGCCGTCTGAGTTCCATGTTCTGGCGGACGTAGGGCCTTGGACGCACGATGTGCCAACTGGAAATTTTTGCTAGCTGGGTTTAAGGGCTAGAACTTAGCAGTTTGATTTTGTGCTTGGGTTCCGAGGTCGTGTCATAAGTCAAAAATGCGAGTTGTTCGTATGAGCAGAGGAGAACAGTCCTTGCCACTTTCAAATGGCTGTAGTTTGATGTGCGAGGATTGCCGGGGCTCACCCTAAACCCCACCCCAAATTACACTCTGAACTCTACGCCCTAAACCTTTCAACCTTAAACTCGCAACCCTTCACCCCTAAACCATAAACCCTCAAACACGAAACCCTGGATCCTAACCCTTCAGTAGCCCTGAACCCTCAACCCATGATCCGCCCCGGAAGTTTGGACGCTGGAGGCTTAGGCCCATGAGCTCAAGCCCATCTTAACAGAGACCCCATGGTCTTCGGTGGTCCGTACTCATTAGAGTAGGGTTTCGGGTTTAGGGTTTAATAATTAGAGTAGGGTTTTGGGGTATATATTACAATCAGGACCCCCCCCTCCCAAAAAAGAAAACAGATCGCCTGTATTGCTTCGGCATCTACTAATCACTGGTTGGGGGGTTGACCGGCGAGTCAGAGTCGACGTGATGTGACTTTCAGACGTAAGCCCGGCGAGTCAGAGTCGACGTGATGTGACTTTCAGACGTAAGCCCGATCTGACATGCCATACTGGAGCACCGTAGACCACCCTGCTACGGTTGATGATATAAGTCCTGCATTATCCATAATCAGGAAGATACCATAGTTCCCATAGTTTAGGGTCCTTAAGGTGATGCAGGATTTATATCATCAACACTAGGTTATAATCCCTCTAACCCCGCACCCTGCACTAGAAAAGCCCCACTTCCTGTGCCTTACACCATGAAACCCTAAACCCTAAACCCTAAACCCTAAACCCTAAACCCTACTCTCAAACCCGACGAGGCCGGTCCTACCAACGCAAAGCCCACCAGGTTGAGAAATCCTCCCTAGACCAGACCGGGGGATCCAAAAAAAAAGCCTACCGTTTTAAGGGGCTCTACCCTCTACGTAAGGCTTGGCGGCTGAGTAGGTAAGCTTTAACCTTTTGGGCCTTATATAATCCTACTATAATTGAACAGTTTAACCTTTTTTGGGGCTTGGGCACCCAGCCCCCAAGAAGGGGTCATGACCTACTATTTTTGTAGGGTTTTGGGGGCCTAGGGAGCTCCTGTCACAGGTGGACCTTTTGGATGAGACGATCAAGGGCGAGGAGACCCTGAACATCTTCAAGGCGGGCCCTGGGTTTTGGGGTTTAGGGTTTTAGGGTTCGGCGTTTTAGGGTTTAGGGCTTCAGGGTTTAATTTAAGGTTTTAGGGTTTAGGGTTTTAGGGTTTTACGGTTTTAGGGTTTTAGGGTTTAGCGTTTAGGGTTTTGGGCTTCTCAAGATAGGCCTTGTTTAACGAGGATGTCAAAGACCTTTTCGAACACAACGGTATGACTGTGGTTAGGTCAGCATGGTGCTGCGAAAGGGGAGGCTTTTGAGTTTAGGTTTAGGAGAATCCCCTAAACCCTGTAAACCCTAAACCTTAAACGATGGCTGCTCACTCGTATTGCATCGTGCAGAAAGTTACAGTTGATATCCTTATTCTTAATTTCAATGAATGAAGACGAAAATGATTATAAGTGCAGGAAGTTACAGTTGATATCCTTATTCTCAATATTCATGAATGAACACTATAATGATTGTAACTGTTATCTTTTTTGTTCCGACTACTACCATTATGGCCAAGATAAGTTTGGACGGCTTCCATGATTCTTCTCGGGCCCCGAACCACCAAAGCCTAGACCCCAATTTAAAGAGATGATGGGCCGCATGCCCATGAAATCACATCTCCCGAATGTTTCCGCACTAGAAGCCTCCCCTGCAATGTGCCAGAGATTCCGGGCTGTTCTTCCCGAATTTCCCAGGCAATTCCACCCGAGCAGTATGCTGCGGATGAGGCGGCACGGGTGATTCGGGATGATCTCTCTCACCCTGCACCCTATAACCTGAACCCTAAACCCTAAACCCTAAACCCTAAACCCTAAACCCTAAACCCTAAACCCTAAACCCTAAACCCTAAACCCTACCCCCTTGCATAAGGCTGTGCCCTGCCCGTGCATCCGGCGGTGATGCCTTAGACCGATAGCTTAGAAAGGTTGCAGTGGCACATCAACCGCAGAGATTTTGCCAGCAGCCGAAGCTTATATCTGTCAGCCGCAAAGACCCTACACTGCTCTACACCGGCACTTCTCGAACCATCTCGAAAGTCCTTCCCGACGGCCGAGTTGTTTTGAAGCATTAGCACCAAAAAGGGGGAAAGCTTCCATTGTCGAGCCGCTAGTCATCCGGGTCGCCGTGTGCATGGGTGGTCAGGTCAGCCTCATCGGCTGGTGCATGCGAGTCTCGTGACCGAGCTGCCAAGGGTGAGCTACGTCAGAATGGAGACAGGTGGTATGGCCCACTGGCGCGATCTCTTCTATGAGGTGCGCGATGGCCTCAGACTTTACGCGAGGGATTATCCGGGTCCACGGCCCGACTCTCCGGTTGCATTATGCATGCATGGTCTGACCCGTAACAGTGCCGATTTCGAGGCACTTGCTCCGGTTCTTGCCAAGACTCACCGGGTGCTTGTGGTGGATCAGCGTGGTCGTGGGCGTTCCGATCGTGATCCTGATATCAGCCGGTACCATCTGGCCAGCTATGTGGGAGACATGTTTGAACTTCTCGCTCGGCAGGCTATCACCCAGGTTGCTGTGGTCGGCACATCGATGGGTGGTCTCATTGCGATGGTGATGAACGTCAAGAGTCCCATCATCTTCAGCCATGTTGTCATCAACGACATTGGCCCAGTGGTGGCGCCCGCAGGACTTGCCCGCATCAAGAGCTATGTGGGTGCAGGTTCTCGCTTCTCAAATTGGAACGAGGCTGCAGCTCACATCAAAGTCCTCAATGAAGCTGCGTTTCCAGCCAACACCAAGGAAGCCTGGATGGCGTTTGCGCGGCGGACTTGTGTTGAAGAGGGGGATGCAGTGGTACTCAACTACGACGTGGCCATCGGTGAGGCCATGAAGCAGCGTGAAGAGGCGGCGGTTCCCCAGGATCTCTGGCCGGCATTTGAGGCTTTGAAGCCGAAACGCACGATGCTGGTACGTGGGGGCATATCAGACTTGCTGGATGTGCCCACTGCAGCGGAGATGCGGCGGCGGAACCCAGAGATGGAGTTCCTGGAAGTCCCCAACATTGGTCACGCGCCCATGCTTGATGAGCCAGGCGTCGCAGAGCGCATCGCCGACTTCATCAACGATCGCTCATCCAGACCCTCTCAGCTGTAGGACTCGATGAAAAAGACGAGCGACTCGTGGGTGAAGCAACCAGAAGGTTCCGAACGGGGCTCCCAGAGCATTGTCTACAGGTGTGCGGGCTCCCTGGACCATAAACTTATATGTTATGTGTATAATAACAGAATATGATCATTGTACATTAGTATAATGTGATACATACCCTAAAGCTGAAGACAATTCGGTTGCAATCACACGATACTTCCAGGGGACAGCGTGAAAGGACGACTCCCACTGCAAACCCAGCAACCCCGGATGAAGACAGCTGCACTGAGGTCTGGCTAGCAGTCTGGGATTCAAGGTTTAGGGCAGGGTTAAGGGGTTGAGGGTTTAAGGTTTTTTTGGGTTAGATTTGTGGAAATCTCCACGATCTATCAGCAGGGCAGGGTTAAGGGTTTGAGGGTTTAGGGTTTTTTTGGGTGAGACTTGTGAAAAATCTCCACGATCTATGAGAAGTTTCAGCTTGTTTTGGCCGTTGGTTCACTGAAGTGGTCACAGATGTTGCAAAGAGATACTTTGGGGGCTTCTTGGGTGGTTGCAGAAGGTTCGCAGGCCCAAGGACTTATCTCAATGTTGTTGGGGCCTCTGTAAACCCCTAAGGAGCAGTATTACGAGTTGAGGGCCTTCGCGAAAATCTGCGGACCGGAGCCTTCGACCTGATACTCTGAAACCCCAAACCCCAATCCCTGCAACTCTAAACCCCTAAGCCCCCAGCCCAATCCATAACTCCAAAGGCTAAAACTCAGACTCGAACACCCTGAAATGCAGAGGCTTAGTGGAAGCTAAGCCCTAAACCATAAACCCTAAACCCAAAGCCCTATACCCTAAACCCTAAACCCTAAACCTTAAGCCTTAAACCCTAAACCCTAAATCCTATACCCGAGAGGCCAAGTGGAAGCTGATCTCCAGCGAGATTCTGGGCCTCGAGCAGGCCCTGCCTCGTGTCGTTCGGAGGTCGAGCTAGGGGTTTAGGGTCTAGGTTTTAGG